ATATATTTAATTTCTTTATGTTATATTTACTAATTTCAACAAATTGCTATTGTTTAGATACTGTTTACCATAGTAAAACTTATTGACATAAAGCTCTTCAAGAAAAAATGTAAAAAATTATTTTAATGCTTCATTGCGATAAAAAAATTATAGTGGCTAGATTAAATTTAATTTAATTAGCCGATTAATTAAAATTGGCTTAAATTTATTATTCAACAGTACATTACAAAAAAACGGCTCGGTAGATTTTCACCTAAAACTAATCAGTATCATTCCCAATTAATACTTTCGAACGGTTTTTGATTTCTTAAAATCGATTCGGTAGTATGAACTTAAATGTTGACAAAAAGTTTAACACTTTTTTTCCAAATTACAAAAAAATGGCTCGGCTGATCGTCTCACAAAACTAACACACATTAGTTTTCATTTTCATATATTCAAAAAAAATTAATTAATAATGTAAATTATAATTTTCTTCGCCAGCTCTCTGTCTATGAATAATCAACGTTCAGATTTTCCATCATATCTCACAGTAGTGATTTGAATGTAAATATTGACATACTAATTAGGACAACTTTGTGAACGCGTTCGGCAAAATCTTTAGAATTTCCTCGAATATTAGATGAAGCCGATGATATGGCAGATTTATTATGGCATTCATGAGATGCTCCAAATAATATATAGGCCTTTATAATTATTTGTCAGATAAATGAGATGATCAGATTTGTAATCAAATTTAATTTGTATGAAATGCTGTAAATATATTTTCGGAAAATTAAATCAGATAAAACTCCGGATTGGATGAATATTATTAAAGCTTAAAATACGAAGCAAATGGTAACTAGTTGAAAGTGGCATTTTGCCTTAAGGCAAGTTGCATAAACTTCCCGATAGGTGTAATAATTGACTTAATTAGTCGAAATTGGGATTTAGGTATTTAGATAAAATTTTCAACTGTTTCTTACCACTTATATTTAGTTATTTATGATTTTCAACAAAATACCTATATGGCAAATAATTCTAAAATAAACCCACTTCTTACTAAATTTTATTATTTAAATTTTAATAACATTTTTTCCCTAATTTACCCAAAAATGTTCTTATTGTGGCAGGTGGCTTTGACGCGTTTTCCTCCCGGCGTCACCCGGAGTCCTTGCCGCTCCGGAGCCGGATTTTTGCTTTTCTTGGCAATCTCGGAGAGACAAAGGGTAAGTGCTGTTTAAATGATCTCCGGGTATCTTTTGTAGAAATCTCGAATGAACAGAGAAACGTTGACACCATTTCAGCAGATAAAATATAACGCCCATGATTCACAAAGCAAAGATTGTATTTTCACACTTGAATGAACTCTAGTTAATTGTAACTGTTTATCTTGGATGGAGGATGGAGGCATTTAGGAATTGAATTATGGGATGAGATTTATAAGAATTTATTTAATGTTTAAATATATATTTTTACGTATTAATTCAGTACCAGAGCATTTAATGTTATTATTAACTTCCTGTAAGGTAAGTTATCGTAATCGTCCAAAAATCGAAGTTGAAATTTTTTTCATATATTCACGTTTTGAAGGTTTTTGAACATTTTGGCATACCTCATAAAAAATGAATGTGTGTGTGTATGTATGAATGGATACAATTTTTCGTCCACGCTTTCGGGCGCATGGATCAACCGATTTGAATGGTTGAAAAAACACTCAATTCCTATTGATAGGGAGATATGCTGATTAGTTTTTCGCGAAGGCAGGTCCAGCCGTTTCGGAAATACGGAGCAAAGAGTGCTAAAAATACACACCGAGTTTTTGAGTGAACAGTGCATCCGATTTGAATGATAAGAAACTTTCTGCTTATTTTTTGTTTTGTATATCGCAAATAATTCAGATTTTAATTTCAATTCTGACCAAATTTCTACAGCTCAAATATATACTTCAAATAAATAATTATAACTTTGTTATTCAGTTTATATAATTCCTATAAATATTAAACAATGCTTTAGTATTTATAATAATCTATATGAAAACATTTAATATTTCCGGCAAATTTTTGTTACGGTACGGGAAGTTCCAGCAATTTGCCTTAAGGCACGATGCTATACACAACAATGGAAAAAAATTATTTTGAAATAACGAAAAAAAAAAAATGTTCTTTCCCAAAAGAATTGTTTCGTCAATACAAGTATAATTTTTTGAATAATTTAAATCGGAAGTTCTCTCAAAAACAGCCATTTTTTGGACCTTTAGGGGCCTCTAATCACGTGAGGTTTTTAGAGGAAGAGGGGCTTTGACAAAAAATTATGAAATATCACGTAGGGAAGAGAGGGGTATAGTAAGATATCACGTGTATTTATTTTTTGTTCCTTGAACTTTTCCAAACATATTAAAATGAAATAAAAATTTTACAATTTTTTCACGTAACTAAAACTACACATGATGTTTGGTGGAGGAGGCGGCGTAATATATATATATATATATATATATATATATATATATATATATATATATATGTATATATACTTTATTGCAGAATAAATATTTTTCATTTAATTGAAGGCAATGCAACAAAAAAAACATTATGCGGTTGTACAAAGCAATGGAACGCAGTTTTGTACAATATTTATGTTATTGACAGCTTTTAAATGTTATATTTTCCATCAGAATATAAATGAAAGCCATGAATTTTTATTAACAATAATAAATGGAATTTGTTGAAGTAAACTATTTTGTATCCAAATGGAATTGTCAGAAAGTTAGACCGATCAGAATTATTTCAAACGTCCCACACAAAAAGTAAATTTCTATAATATTTTTACCAAATATTAATAATATAGTTATTAATTATAAATATATAAATGCAATCGTAATCTATACATATGAATAAAATTGGATTGGAGTCTATTTGTAATACTGGAATAGCGTTTTGTTTTTAAACATACATGTGAATACAAATTAAATTGTGTATACACATCGTTTAAAATTTAAAATTGATATGTATTAACACTTTTGACTGTATGTATCTCTTTTTATTGCTTTTTAGGTCGTTCTTTTGTATAAACAAGTATCAAAATATTGACTTCAGAATATCAATCAAATTAAACATATATATTTCTTTCCAAAGGACTTCATATTGTATCGTAAAAATAATAATCACAACTTATTAATAATGTAATATTAATACAATAATTTGAATATAATTTTGTTAAATCATTATTAAAAATAAATGTTGTACTGTTTGGTAATGCATATATATTTGTACAAGATTTCTCTTTTTTTCTAGGTTTGTATTAATTTCTGTAGGTTAATTTATTGTAATCATCAAAAATTTGAAATTTTGACAATTTTTGCATTCTTCACGTTTTGAAGAATGCAAAAGGCTTACCTTAGAAAAAATGGATATTTGTGTGTATGTATGCTTAGATACAACTTTATATATATATATATATATATATATATATATATATATATATATAAACAACGTCATTGTACAATTTATAATCTCTTATGTGATTATTTTGATAATTTAATATAGAAAAACTAATTACTGTTAATATAAAATAACTACGTAACTATAACTATAATAATAATCATAACATGTATGATGAATAGTTAATTTCAAGTAATTTTGCATTTTTTAATAATGTCTTTTTAAACAAAAACACCTTAAGTGCAAATAATAGTAGTATCCTTCTACTATAGATTCCCATAAAATTTGTTGAAATATATGTAAAAAACAACATATTATTTGTTGTATATTTTAAATATTGTGTTAGGACCTCCACTTATGTGGAAATAGTTGCTAATAATTTTATCAAATTCCAAGTTACAAGAATCTTAATAATTTTGAAATTCATGTAATTTATTCATATTAATTTAAAATAGTTTTACATGGCCTCTCCTGAGGAGCAAATATTGGTTTTGTCCATCTACTCGAACGTTCTTTCAAATCTGAACACAAGTCTGCATAATTGTTAAATTCATTCAATTTTTCAAGGTCAATGTGTATGTCCTCCCCTTATCATAAATAATAGAATCGCCCACCTGGTTTTAATTCGTCCAATAGAATTCGTCCTAACATTTTTGCAAGTAGTAAGGTCTAAGCTGCAAGTGCACATTGTTGCACAATCGACTTCTCAATCGACTCGTATAGAAGAATTAGTATATTAAATAATACAATTGTGGAATAAATATTTAAAAAATAAATAAAACAATTAAAAGAAGATTATGGTGCTAAATTCAATTTTGTAATAAAATTATTGCAAATTATGTACCTCATATGGACAATGTTATAAATGAAGGTATTTTGAATGTAAATAAGTTTATATTAGTCACATTAGTCACATATCAATAGGCATTTAGTATGGCATTTAGCATTTTCTTGGCCTTTCTATATACATATAATATATTTTATAAAATGATTTTTTTAACTAATTTATTTATTTTCAGCAGAAATGCAATTCTGAGAACAGAGGTTCTTACAAGCATTACAAAAATAAAGTAAATAACTCATTAGAACAAAGGGTCAACTTCACAAATCGATATGTTTCGCCTGGAAAACCACAAATTTCATAACTGAGATACTAATTTTACTTGATTTTTGGAAATACAAGTCAGAAGAATGGATTTAAATAGAAATTTGCGTTGAAGATTTTTTAGTTGACACTAAATTTTTATTCATCCATCTTCATCCAGTCAAAAGATATAAGACTTTGAAAGACCAACCATTGAACTGGAGAAGCAGAAGAAAAAACAAATAGCTATGTGTTTTTTATTCATTGGTGACATTTTTGTTGATCAGAAAAACATTTTTATAAAAATCCATCCAAGTTTTATTAGTGAAAATCAGTACTTTCAAAAAGACAAATATTCGCTTGTGGTCAAATAATTTGCCCGGTGTCGACTCGAAGTGATTGTTTTTCTCGATTTTTGAGCTATTTTTTAATCCGAGTTTGTTTATCGTTTTTTTTGGTGCTTGTGTAGTGTTTTATAAAGGCCTTTGTAGTCTTTTAATGCAGTGATAGTGTCTTATTGCCGGTTCTTGGTTTCTGATTCCTGATTTCTGGTTCCTGGTTCCTGGTCAGCTCTCTTCTGGAAATCACGAGGTAATACACATATTTTTTAGCACAAATCGTAATTCCATATATTGAAAAATTGTTTAATTTTATTTTTTATTCTCCAGACAACAAATTGGTAATCGGGATGTTCCAGAAGAATCGGTGATTTTATACAAAGGTCAGTGAATTTTTATTCCTAGGCATGATTTCTAAGGGTACGGTCACACGTCTCGTTGTGCGTTTACAAAAAAAAAAAACCGAAAGCTAGTTTATAGCTAGGAAGTTGTTAAATAATTATATAATTAACTAATTATATAATTAATATTCTTTTAGTGTAGGTAAAATTGTGACCGTACCTCTTATTAATCTACAAATTTCTTTCAGTCTAATAAGACTTTTTAAAATAGAAGTGAGTGTAGTAGATAATAAAATTCGCGTAAAATTAATAAAACAATAGTGCCTATTAAATAAAATTGCATAATTTCGCGTAAAACAAAGTGTGTGTGAGGCGACGATTTGACTTTGTGCAATTTTGCGAAGAAATGCTGACATCCATGCAGCCTGAGGTAAGATCATGTACAAGCTTTTAAATAAGTGTATATGTACAAAATTTCAAATAAATGATTTTTTTATCTAAGAATTTATACGCATGATAATAATCGGCAAACATATTAAATTATAAATCGTAATCAATTTGAACCAAAACGCATTCAATTCATATTGATGGGATTTGAGTGATGATGAGTTTTTCGCAAAAACAGGCTCAGTTGTTTTTAAAGAAAATTCAAAATAATTTTTTTTTTTCAGAAATGTGAAATCTTCAAAGTTTTTTTTAAATTTTCTTTCAAATTTCAAATCCATTTTTTTCAAAGTTCTCCAAATGTTTTTTTAAAAATTATAATCTTTGGTGTGGAATGCCTTACGGCACCACTAGTTTTTCAATTATATTAGATTTATTTATTATTTTGTACAAATAAATTTCAAGTTTGTTTGCATATTTTGAAATAATATAAATACCGGTGATTGAGCAGTACTTATTGAAAATACCGAAATACCGGTATCATTTTTTTATCGATATTGAATTCTCGTGTGCTGTCTCTATAGCATTCAGAAAAAATACTAAATATTTGATTTTAAAAATATTTTTCAGAATGTATTCACATTTATTACCTTTTCGTAGGGTAAGTTATAGTAACTGACCAAAAATATATTTTTACGTTTACGTTTTAGTTGTTTCTGAACATTTTGGCATACCTTAGATAAAAATGAATGTGTGTGTATGTGTGTGTGTATTCAAAAAGCAATTGTTACCTGCTATTGGGAGTTAGTGCTGATTAGTTTTCGGATATGATAGTTCCAGACGTTTCGGAGATAAAGAGCAAAGAGTGCAGAAAATAGAAATCAAGTTTTTGAGAGAACGAAGCATCCGATTTGAAAGATCCAAAAAACATTTAATTAGTAATGATTTGGATTATTAGCTTTTGGCAAAGGCAGGCCCAGCTATTTTGAAGATACAGAGCTAAATGTCCAATAAAAGGCAGTGTTTGAGAGAACTAAGCGTCCGATTTACATGATTCAAAGTACTTTCTGCTTGTTTTAACAAAATAATTGATTTTGGAAAAAAAATTGTTGCAATTTTTCTTTCAATTTTTTTTTTCAGAAAAAAATTTTTTTGGTGAAAATAAATTAGATTTTATTTTTAATTCTGAATAAAGTTCTAATATACTCTAAATAAGTAATTTCAACTTTGCAATTCAGTTTATATAATTCACATAAATATTCGACGATGTTACAATATTTATAATAATTTATTTTTATTTATTTATATTTTAATTTATTTTTACATTATTTATAATAATTATCTGAAAACATTCAATATTCTTCGAACATTTCATTACAGTACGGGAAGTTCCAGCAATTTGCCTTAAGACACAATGCCATACGCCCCACTAGTTTTAATTTTACAATGAGTTTGAAGAAAAGTATTACAACTGAAAAGGACATTCACAAAAATGTTCTCAAGTTTTTAATGCATTATAGTTTATGAAGCAACTTGCCGCTTATTTAAATTCAAATACATATTAAAATTTCTTTACATCACAAAATTCCAAAAACAAAATGTTTGTACATACACCCAAGTTTTTATTCATCCCTTACCTCTTATGGAAAAACTTCTAGCAACTAATCAAATATACGACACATCAAATTCTCATTTTTGACAGACATCAGACACAAAACTTCTACACTCCCGGGAACAATATTTATTTCGCATTCACCGCATAATAACACGAGCTGCCCCTGTCCCGGGGGCACATATGTCAGAAAAAGGGGTTGCGATTCTGACGCGGGCGTTAAATGCATTATTAATATTCGATGTGCCCCCTTTGGAGGGAACAATGCTAACGCGATACGCCCCCTTTTCGCATTATCGTTTGTGCATCCCTTTTGGGAATAGTGGTAGTATTATTTATAGTCATGGGCCGCGGGCCAACCCTATTTAAGTTTGCGTTTCTTTTACACGGGTTAAAGATGGCTCTTATTTTTTCCGAGAGATTTTGGATGTGATGATTTGGGGTGGAAGAGTGTGATAAATTGTGAGTTGTGATAATGAATCTTAAACTGTTATTTATTGCATTTTTGAAGGATTGTGACACAAAATCCTATATCGAGATTGTTACATAATAATAAAAATACTTTAGAAACTTACTGTAGTGTTAGTTATAGTAATTGCAAAATATGGAAAATATTTTTTTTATAGATCTTTACGTTTCAGAGGTTTCTGAAAATTTGTGCATAACTTAGAAAAAAATGTATGTATGTATGTGTGTATGTGTGTGTGTGTGTGCGTGTGTGCATATGCGTGTGCGTATACAAATTTTTGTCGACGCTTCTAGGAACACGGTTCCACCGATTTGAATAATTCAAAAAACATTCGATTTGTATCGATAAGGACACATGCTGATTAGATTTTGGCAAAAGCAGGTCTAGCCGTTCCGAAGATATGGGGCAAAAAGTGCCAAAAACGGTAACTCAGTTTTTAAGGGAACCGAGCGTCCGATTTGAATAATTCAAAAAACATTTTATTTGTATTTACAAACTGACATTTTTGAGAAGGCTGATTAAGCTGTTTCGGAGCTCCATTAAAAAAAGTAAAAAAAATGTCATTTGGCGGACAAAAATAATTATTAGACATATGCACATCAAATTATCAGATAATTTATAGGGATTTTATTAAAAAGTATAAATTTTGTATTCGTTTCTGTGGGTTTTGTACCAATGCCTATGCGTTAGACTGCGATGCGACGCTCACGCGCTTCGATATTTCTTCTAAAACAGCCGCGCAGCACGATTGCTTTGATGAAAAGTTCAAACTTTTCAGAAAAATTCTAAGTATAAAAAATTTCTAAAATCTAAAACAAATTTAGTTTTTAAAAAAGTTTTTTTTTTTTTCTAAAATTTCAAAATTCTCATAAATCTCAATTTTTTCAAAGTTTCCAACCTTTCAAAGTTGAAGGTTGTTAAATCTTTTAATTTTTGGTACAATGAGTTCCAGCAACTTGCCTTAAGTCACGATGCCATGCAACACTAGTTAAATAACAAAATCGATTATGCAACTTGTCTTAAGATAAAATGTCACTTACAACTACTTATGTAAACGTCCCAGGCTCAAACTATTCTCATCTCTGAATATATTAGTATTTTCTCAAAAAATTAAATTTAAATAGCAAAAGGACACAGTTTTTTTGCACCTATCAATTTTGTAAATAAGACATTAAAGTCTTGATTAACAAAAATAAGTTATATCATGGTCTTATAGAACTTACTTTTAATTTAAAAAATACACCAAAGTTTGAAAAAATAAGTAATTTTTTTGACGTTTGTTAAAATTAAAATTAGACGATTTACTTGGTATAACGATAGAGTACTTGGTCTTAATGAACACACTAAACCATGAAAGTCCTACGAAAATTGGTTCAATTATAAAAATTATTGACTTTTAAAAATTTGCTCTTAGAAAATACTCCAAGTTAACGAGTTTGTTCGTTTTCAATTATGTGCTATTAATCCACTCGGAATACTTTAAATCACTCATAAATCAATTTATTTTTTATTGATCAAGTCGACATATCGAAAAGTTCATGTAACTTGTCTCAAGGCAAAATACCAATACCAACTAGTTCCATCTAAGTTTTAAGTGATCTACTCCATAAATACATAGAAATGAAGTAACACGTTGTAAATTATTTTGTTCTAATAATCCCTTATTAATCATGTATGTAACCTGAGAATGAAATCCCATCCAGCACAATTGGAAATCTCCTTCGTGCGCAATCTGGTGCCCTCTGCTAAATTGCGTAGGGGCAGTTAGTTAGTTAGTAATACTGATTCGGATAATTCTACATACAATGTATATGTATGTATATCAGTTACACGTGTGCAGTTCTAGGATTTCATATCTGATTGCCTAAATGATTGTCCTGTTGTATTATATTGCAGTCGGTCTTTGGGATATAAATGCTTTAGCCACGTGGCTTGAAAGGAGTGCATTTATAGATTTGTGATGTAATAGAGGTTTATATTAAATATATAGCAAATTATTTATCACTTATTTAGGGCGAGAAGAGATATTCACACTTTGTTCTATAAAATTATGCATAGCTAGGAGACAGTTTGGTTGATATTAGATATATGGACTGATTCTGCCTCATGACAGACCAATGTTATGGCAAGGCTATGACATGAAGAATTTTTCATACTAAATATTGACAAAAGGTATGTAATCAGGCGTATTTCTCAGGTTGTCAGATAGCAAACCTAATCTAGAATCCACACAAATGTCAAAAAAATCGATCTTAGATAACATGGTCTTTCTGACCCAGCTTAATAACATACAAGTGACGTTGCAGTTTATGTGTAAAACGCCTGAATGCACAGCAGATACATGATTTTTTGTCAATATTCAGTATGATTCAGTAGCTTAATGTATGGAAGTTTGGGCGTAACATGGCCTTGCCATACATTGGTCTGTTGTGCGGCAGAATCGGCCCATTAGTTTTCATTGGTTTTAGAACAATATAAAAATTGCTTTGGTGCGACTATCATTTTTTACCTTCCCGAAGGAGATGATTATATTTTTTCCAAAAATTCCCCATTTGCAGATTTTATATTTTTTCGAAGTTTCAAGCCATTCTGAATAGAATGAGACCAAATTTGGATAAATTATGTATGTGTGAGTGTATGTGTCCCGATTTTTGACTTCACGTGCCGTATTCTCAGAAATGGCTATATCAATTTCAAAAACCTAAAAACCATTTGATGTGTCTCGATATTAGCGTATGCACGACAATCAGCCAAGCCGTTTCTTTGTAATTGCAGAAAAGTGAAAATTTTCAGTCCTCGTTTTAGCAAAAAATTCTGTATCGATTTTAAAAATTCAAAAAACTATTTGAAAAATGTTATTTGGAAATCGTGCTGATTAGTTTCAGACGAAGATCAGCCGAGCTGTTGCCTATTAATTAACTGTTGAAAAAAGTGAAACTTCTTATGTTGGTAGATAACATGGTGC